TACCTGTGGATATATTTCAAGGCCTACCTTCAAACTCAGTGCCTCTTTGCTTGACATCATGAGAAAATCAAAAGAAATCAGCCAAGACCTCAGAAAAGGAATTGTAGACCTCCCCAAGTCTGGTTCATCCTTGGGAGCAATTTCCAAACACCTGAAGGTACCACGTTTATCTGTACAAACAATAGTACGCAAGTATAAACACCATGGGACCACGCAGCCGTCATACCGCTCAGGAAGGAGACACGTTCTGTCTCCTGGAGATGAACGTGCTTTGGTGCGAAAAGTGCAAATCAATCCCAGAACAACAGCAAAAGACCTTGTGAAGATGCTGGAGGAAACAGGTACAAAAGTATCTATATCCACAGCAAAACGAGTCCTATATCGACATAACCTGAAAGGCCGCTCAGCAAAGAAGAAGCCACTGCTCCAAAACCGCCATTAAAAAGCCAGACTACGGTTTGCAACTGCACATGGGGACAAAGATCGTACTTTTTGGAGAAATGTCTTCTGGTCTGATGAAACAAAAATAGAACTGTTTGGCCATAATGACCATCGTAATGTTTGGAGGAAAAAGGGGGTTGCTTGCAAGCCGAAGAACACCATCCCAACCATGACGCACGGGGGTGGCAGCATCATGCTGTGGGGGTGCTTTGCTGTAGGAGGGACTGGTGCACTTCACAAAATAGATGGCATCATGAAGAAGGAAAATTATGTGGATATATTGAAGCAACATTTCAAGACATCAGTCAGAAAGTTAAAGCTTGGTCGCAAATGGGTCTTACAAATGGACAATGACCCCAAGCATACTTCCAAAGTTGTGGCAAAATGGCTTAAGGACAACAAAGTCAAGGTATTAGAGTGGCCATCACAAAGCCCTGACCTCAATCCTATAGAAAATGTGTGGGCAGAACTGAAAAGGTGTGTGCGAGCAAGGAGGCCTACAAACCTGACTCAGTTACACCAGCTCTGTCAGGAGGAATGGGCCAAAATTCACCCAACTTATTGTGGGAAGCTTGTGGAAGGCAACCCAAAACGTTTGACCCAAGTTAAACAATTTAAAGGCAATGCTACCAAATACTAATTGAGTGTATGTAAACTTCTGACCCAATGGGAATGTGATGAAAGAAATAAAAGCTGAAATAAATCATTCTCTCTACTATTATTCTGACATTTCACATTCTTAAAATAAAGTGGTGATTCTAACTGACCTAAGACAGGGAATATTTACTAGGATTAAATGTCAGGAATTGTGAAAAACTGAGTTTAAATGTATTTGGCTAAGGTGTATGTAAACTTCTGACTTCAACTGTATATACTGTATTCTATTCTACTGTATTTTAGTCAATGCCACTCCGACATTGCTTGTCCTAATATTTATATATTTCTTAATTCCATTCTTTAACTTTTAGATTTGTGTATTGTTGTGAATTGTTAGATAGTACTGTACTGTTGGAGCTAGGACCACAAACATTTTGCTACACCAGCAGTAACATCTGTTAAATATGTGTATGTGACCAATAAAATGGTATTTGATGTGGCTTGTTGATAAGACCGCAGCCAGTGAGTGTTGTGTTGCTGCTGTTCATCTCATGGCAAAACAGCATGGGTCAGAGACAGTAACACACTCACAGCATTTGAGAGTATGAAAACATCCATGGCAGTTAGTTAGCAATGTGGATTGTGATGTGGATTAATGTCAACATTTGAGAATATTTATGTACTTGTTTTGTATTATGGTGTTTGTGCCACCCTAAAATAGCCAGAGTTTATATCTAGAGCAGACATTAGTTACAGGAATATGACAGGGGCTAAGTGTTCTGGTCAAGAGAGGTCACTTGGTGCCTTGTTAATGTGGGAGAAGGTGGGAGTAATCCCTGACCACTAATACAAGATCCTTATTACAATTCTCTTACATTTAAATGTTTACATTTACGTCATTTAGCAGACGCTCTTATCCAGAGCGACTTACAAATGGGTGCATTCACATTATGATAGCCAGTGGGACAACCACTTTATTTTTTATTTTTTATTATTATTATTATTTTTATATACAGTGGGGAAAAAAAGTATTTAGTCAGCCACCAATTGCGCATGTTCTCCCACTTAAAAAGATGACAGAGGCCTGTAATTTTCATCATAGGTACACGTCAACTATGACAGACAAATTGAGGAAAAAAATTAGAATGATTACTTTTATACTATCCCAGGTATTCCTTAAAGAGGTAGGGTTTCATGTGTCTCCGGAAGGTGGTCAGTGACTCCGCTGTCCTGGCGTTGTGAGGGAGCTTGTTCCACCATTGGGGTGCCAGAGCAGCGAACAGTTTGGACTGGACTGAGTGGGAACTGTGCTTCTGCAGAGGTAGGTGGACCAGCAGGCCAGAGGTGGAAGAATGCAATGTCCTCGTTTGGGTGTAGGGACTGATCAGAGCCTGAAGGTAAGGAGGTGCCGTTCCCCTCACAGCTCCATAGGCAAGCACCATGGTCTTGTAGCAGATGCGAGCTTCAACTGGAAGCCAGTGGAGTGTGCGGAGGAGCGGGGTGACGTGAGAGAACTTGGGAAGGTTGAACGGGCTGCAGCGTTCTGGATGAGTTGTAGGGGTTTAATGGCACAGGCAGGGAGCCCAGCCAACAGCGAATTGCAGTAATCCAGACGGGAGATAACAAGTGGCTGGATTAGGACCTGTGCCGCTTCCTGTGTAAGGTAGGGTCGTACTCTGCGAATGTTGTAGAGCATGAACCTACAGGATCGGGTCACCGCTTTGATGTTAGCAGAGAACGACAGGGTGTTGTCCAGGGTCACGCCAAGGTTCTTTGCACTCTGGGAGGAGGACAAAATGGAGTTGTCAACCGTGATGGCGAGATCATGGAGCGGGCAGTCCTTCCCCGGGAGGAAGAGCAGCTCCGTCTTGCCGAGGTTCAGCTTGAGGTGGTGATCCGACATCCACACTGATATGTCTGCCAGACATGCAGAGATGCGATTCGCCACCTGGTTATCAGAAGGGGGAAAGGAAAAGATGAATTGTGTGTCGTCTGCGTAGCAATGATAGGAGAGACCATGTGAGGATATGACAGAGCCAAGTGACTTGGTGTATAGAGAGAATAGGAGAGGGCCTAGAACTGAGCCCTGGGGGACACCAGTGGTGAGAGAACGTGGTGCGGAGACAGATTCTCGCCACGCCACCTGGTAGGATCGACCTGTCAGGTAGGACGCAATCCAAGAGTGAGCCGCGCTGGAGATGCCCAACTCGGAGAGGGTGGAGAGGAGGATCTGATGGTTTACAGTATCAAAGGCAGCAGATAGGTCTAGAAGGATGAGAGAGTTAGCTTTAGCAGTGCGGAGAGCCTCCGTGACACAGAGAAGAGCAGTCTCAGTTGAATGACCAGTCTTGAAACCTGACTGGTTTGGATCAAGAAGGTCATTCTGAGAGAGATAGCAGGAGAGTTGGCTATAGACGGCACGCTCAAGAGTTTTGGAGAGAAAAGAAAGAAGGGATACTGGTCTGTAGTTGTTGATATCGGAGGGATCAAGTGTAGGTTTTTTGAAGAGGGGTGCAACTCTCGCTTTCTTGAAGATGGAAGGGACATAGCCAGAGGACAAGGATGAGTTGATGAGCGAGATGAGGTAAGGGAGAAGGTCTCCGGAAATGGTCTGGAGAAGAGAGGAGGGGATAGGGTGAAGCGGGCAGGTTGTTGGGCGGCTGGCCGTCACAAGTCGCAAGATTTCATCTGGAGACAGAGGGGAGAAAGAAGTCAAAGTATAGGGTAGGGCAGAGTGAGCAGGACCAGCGGTGTCATTTGACTTAATAAATGAGGATCGGATGTCGTCAATCTTTTCAAAATGGTTGACGAAGTCATCCACAGAGAGGGAGGAGGGAGGGGGAGGAGGAGGAGGAGGAGGATTCAGCAGGGAGGAGAAGGTGGCAAAGAGCTTCCTAGGGTTAGAGGCAAAGGCTTGAAATTTAGAGTGGTAGAAAGTGGCTTTAGCAGCAGAAACGGAGGAAGAGAATGTAGAGAGGAGGGAGTGGAAAGATGACAGGTCCGCAGGGAGTCTAGTTTTCTTCCATTTCCGCTCGGCTGCCCGGAGCCCTGTTCTGTGAGCTCGCAATGAATCGTCAAGCCACGGAGCAGGAGGGGAGGACCGAGCCGGCCGGGAGGATAGGGGACATAGAGAGTCAAAAGATTCAGAGAGGCAGGAGAAGGAGGGTTGAGGAGGCAGAATCAGGAGATTGGAGGGAGAAGGATTTAGCAGTGTTTTGTCTATTTCTCTTGGACCTGATCCCTACATGACATGTGCAGTTTAGCTACCAACTAAAAAAATTAAAATAAGATGTTTTATTGTCATGCACCGGATAGGTGCAGTGAAATGTGTTGTTTTACAGGGTCAGCCATTTAGTACGGCGCACCTGGAGCAAATTAGGGTTAAGTGCCTTGCTCAAGGGCACATACAGATTTTTCACCCTGTCGACTTGGGTATTCGAACTAGCACATTTTTGGTTACTGGCGCAATGCTCTAACCGCTACGCTACCTACCGCCCTTTTGATAGGTTTACCTCTAATGCACATTACATTCAATGCCAATATGGCATCCTGCCCTCTCCTATGGTGACACCTACTGGACACTACACAAAACAGTAGTACATTCCATTTTTTAAAACATTTTAGTCATTTAGCAGACGCTCTTATCCAGAGCGACTTAAAGAAGCAATTAGGGTTAAGTGCCTTGCTCAAGGGCACATCGACATATTTTTTATCTAGTCTCCTCGGGGATTCGAACCAGCGACCTTTCAATTACTGGCCCAACGCTCTTAACCACTAAGCTACCTGCCTGCCACAGTCTGTTGAGAAGACACTTTAGGATGAGGAATACATATAATTTATTTTATAGACATACATTTCTTTGTGTACAAGCATGCATTCAAGTTTTAGATTCCAAATAGCTTTTGATATTTGCTTGGCAATGGAATAGGGACCTTGTCACATGCTAAAGTAAGTAAATGCAAGAAGCACATACACAAACGATGCAGAGAACAGCAAGTATCTAGTAGTTTTGCCTTTATTGATAACATGGTTCAGACAGAAACAGTAACAAAACAAAGAAAATGAACAACTGAAAAACATACAACCTGAAAAGCCCGTCTCCTACACCCTGCTGTATCGGAGTTGTAACCAGTTAAGTGTTGAGTGACAATTTAGAGCCATCTCATCCGAGTTGTAGCTTGGAACGTGTGCTCAGCAGATCTAGATCAAATAAATACTTGTACTCTTTCAGATACTTGCGGTGCGCTTGATTTAGTTTGCTCAGAATGCCAGAGTTCACATTTTTTAACTATTCAATTGGGTCGTGCACGTTAAATCAAGCGCACCTAAAGTATTTGAACGAAAACAAGTACGTTTGACCCAGGTGTGGTAGTCAGTAAGGCCGAGGTCCTGTTGGTGAATGTGTCTGTGTGACTACGATGCCAGGTGACTGACAAACAATATAAAAACAAAAAACAGAGATTCTCTTCAGAGGGAGGATGGATGACGACCCACATAAACAGAAAAGGCTGACATCTTTAGAGTGGATCTCAGAGGGTATCTTGACTGCCTGCTATATATAAGTAACTTCAACTCAGTAAACATTGTATGTGAATGATAGTCCATGTCTGAAACTGACTCCTACCTATCCTGTAAAATAACAGAGTCAAAATCGGTCCCATCTAAACCATTGATTGGATTCTCATTTGCAGATCTAAAGCTTCACTGTGACTCTGGTCTGTATGTTTCATGGTATGAGCAGGCTCATTATTACAGGCCAATTGGTAAAATGCTGGACATTTTATGAGCAAGACTACCTCCACTTCATTAGCAACTAAGTGCCTGTTTAATTGTTTGTGTATATGCGAGTATGAGAGTGTGTGCGAGGTCTTCACAGGCCGATGGTGTAGGATCGTCCTGCTGGGTTGTGGATAGCGGAGCATGAGGGCTCTGTCACGGCCCACTCATACCACACCTTCTTCCCATTGTTACACCTCCAGAACCTCACCACGACATCATCATCCCGCATCACAGGGATTGGTTGCTGGGGGGGGGGGGGGGAGAGAAAAGGGTCAATACACTACATTATATTGGGTAATAAAATGTGCTAAATGTAAAGTATACATTTTACATGACTGTATGACAGTCAACTTACTTTGAGAGGGAACAGGATGGGGAACCAGGAGAACATTCCGGGAGAGTGGGTCTCTGGCTTGATACCTTGACCAAACAAACACACACATTGATGTTAATGATATCCATCCCATCCATGATATCCATTTCATATTTCAAACATCACCATCCCCATTCTTGGTACTTACTGAGTGTGACATCTCCGTAGAGTGTGGTCTCGAAGTATCCAGCAAAGCCGTGCAGCACTGTGTTACATCCCACAGAGAATCTAAGGCACTGATACCTGTTGTTGTTCATATCTAAAGGAAAGGAAAGATAAGTGCATTTATTACATATCTTGTGTGATTGTTAGCTGTGTTTGCTAGGGTGTGTGTATTACCTATGGTGGGATGTGTAAGCACTAGCCATGTAAGGGTGTTTGATGCGTGTATGTTACCTGTGGTGGGGTGTACGAAGGTGAAGCAGGCCTTGGGCTCAGCCAGCTGGTGGAAGTTGTGGAGTCTGACGACGTAGGGGGTCTCGAAGTGGCATTCAGGGTCCTTGTCCCGCTCCCTGCACCCCCTAACCTCATTATACAGCTTGGAGGAGGAGAGGGGGGCCAGGAAAGAGGTGTAGGAACAGGGAATGCTAACCCCACCATCTGAGAGAGGAACAAAATAATTGGGACAAGTTTGGATGAGCGAGGGTAGAGGCAAAAAAGGGCATTGAATGACAATTAAAATGATATACAGTACCAGTAAAAAGTTTGGACACACCTACTCATTCAAGGGTTTTTCTTTATTTTTTACTATTTTCTACATTGTAGAATAATGGTGAAGATACAAAACTATGAAATAACACATATGGAATCATGTAGTAACCAAAATTGTGTTAAACAAATCAAAATATATTTTATATTTGAGATTCTTTAAAGAACCCTCCCTTTGCCTTGATGACAGCTTTGCACACTCTTGGCATTCTCTCAACCAGCTTCATGAGGTAGTCACCTGGAATGCATTTCAATTAACAGGTGTGCCTTGTTAATTTGTGGAATTTCTTTCCTTCTTAATGCGTTTGAGCCAATCAGTTGTGTTGTGACAAGGTGGGGGGGGGGGGGGGGGGGGTGCTTTACAGAAGATAGCCCTATTTGGTAAAAGACCAAGTCCATATTATGGCAAGAACAGCTCAAATAAGCAAAGAGAAACGACAGTCCATCATTACTTTAAGACATGAAGGTCAGTCAGTACGGAAAATGTCAAGAACATTGAACATTTCTTCAAGTGCAGTCGCAAAAACCATCAAGCACTATGATGTAACTGGCTCTCATGAGGACCGCCACAGGAAAGGAAGACCCAGAGTTACCTCTGCTGCAGAAGATGAGTTCATTAGAGTTACCAGCCTCAGAAATTGCAGCCCAAATAAATGCTTCACAGAGTTCAAGTAACAGACACATCTCAACATCAACTGTTCAGAGGAGACAGCGTGAATCAGGCCTTCATGGTCGAATTGCTGCAAAGAAACCACTACTAAAGGACACCAATAAGAAGAAGAGACCTGCTTGGGCCAAGAAACACGAGCAATGGACATTAGACTGGTGGAAATGTGTCCTTTGGTCTGGACTCCAAGTGTTATGGTGTGGGGGTGCTTTGCTGGTGACACTGTCTGTGATTTATTTAGAATTCAAGGCACACTTAACAAGCATGGCTACCACAGCATTCTGCAGCGATACGCCATCCCATCTGGTTTGGGCTTAGTGAGACTATCATTTGTTTTTCAACAGGACAATGACCCAACACACCTCCAGGCTGTTTAAGGGCTATTTTACCAAGAAGGAGAGTGATGGAGTGCTGCATCAGATGACCTGGCCTCCACAATTCCCCGACCTTAACCCAATTGAGATGGTTTGGGATGAGTCGGATCGCAGAGTGAAGGAAAAGCAGCCAACAAGTGCTCAGCATATGTGGGAACTTTCCAAGACTGTTGGAAAAGCATTCCAGGTGAAGCTGGTTGAGAGAATGCCAAGAGTTTGCAAAGCTGTCATCAAGGCAACGGGTGGCTACTTTGAAGAATCTCAAATATATTTTGATTTGTTTAACACTCTTTTGGTTACTACATGATTCCATGTGTTATTTCATAGTTTTGATGTCTTCACTATTATTCTACGATATAGAAAATAGTAAAAATAAAGAAAAACCACGGAATGAGTAGGTGTGTCCAAACTTTGACTGGTACTGTATATCGTCACTGTCGGGTGAAAACCTCTCATCTCAAAAACAGAAACTTTTCAGTAAATGGAGAAAAAAAAACAGTCACATTTTTCCATTAACGAACATACAATTATGACATTTCAGAAGCTATTTTTTAATTATTGTTCTTGGTCCTAGTAATGAAATGTTCAGAGTACATTGAGGGGAGTTACTGCTTCCGAGGTTTTCATCTGACAGCGACGATATGGCCCTTTCACAGCTTTAGTAAGTACAGTGTGACATTTCAATATCAACGAGGTACACTGCAGAGGTGCAATGAGTTTACCCCTACCTTTGAGAAAGTGCTGTGCTCCATCTAGACACTCTGGGGACAGTTCGTTGTCCCCGAAGGACCCGAGTAGCTCGCTGACGATGATGTCCGCCTTCTCAGGTGCCGCCCACTCCCTCATGTCACATGACACCACGGTCACCTGATCGCCCCACTCCTCAAATTTCCAGTTCTGAAGCCTGGGAGAGAATGGACAGGATCAGTCTCACAGACAGACAGAGGGTGGAGCTCAATGGAGATTAACGTTGCCAACCCTCCCATTATTGTCTTGTAATTTACCTGCCAGAAACTATTAAACCTAACCGGGGAGAATACTTGTAATACCTGAATTAAATGATTATATTAATGAAACTATGTTGAAGGAGTTCTATAATCTCCTGGAATGAGGTTGGTGAAAGTTAGAAACCCCATTAGAGATCAGAGTTTTCACTCACGTGACGACAGCGTTGGGGTTCTTTTCCACAGCGTAGATACGGAGCTTCCGGTCAGCCTGCTTGGCAGCACGCAGGGAGGCATTGACCAGAGGACCTCTCCCAGCCCCCAGCACCATCAAAACTCTAAGGTTACAGAGAATACATACTGTTACACACCAGATACAGAGGGGGAAGGTCATTGTCAGGAGAATAGATACTAACAGAGATGACAGACCGGTAGGTATTGGAGCTACTCACTGTGTATTGGTCTCCTTCTGCTCCTCCGGGACTCTGTCGAGCAGACACTTGTACACAGCCTGCAGAAAGATCAGGAGACCCCAATCAGTACTTAATTATACACTGCTCAAAAAAATAAAGGGAACACTTAAACAACACAATGTAACTCCAAGTCAATCACACTTCTGTGAAATCAAACTGTCCACTTAGGAAGCAACACTGATTGACAATACATTTCACATGCTGTTGTGCAAATGGAATAGACAACAGGTGGAAATTATAGGCAATTAGCAAGACACCCCCAATAAAGGACTGGTTTTGGAGGTGGTGACCACAGACCACTTCTCAGTTCCTATGCTTCCTGGCTGATGTTTTGGTCACTTTTGAATGCTGGCGGTGCTTTCACTCTAGTGGTAGCATGAGACGGAGTCTACAACCCACACAAGTGGCTCAGGTAGCGCAGCTCATCCAGGATGGCACATCAATGTGGCAAGAAGGTTTGCTGTGTCTGTCAGCGTAGTGTCCAGAGCATGGAGGCGCTACCAGGAGACAGGCCAGTACATCAGGAGATGTGGAGGAGGCCGTAGGAGGGCAACAACCCAGCAGCAGGACTGCTACCTCCGCCATTGTGCAAGGAGGAGCACTGCCAGAGCCCTGCAAAATGACCTCCAGCAGGCCACAAATGTGCATGTGTCTGCTCAAACGGTCAGAAACAGACTCCATGAGGGTGGTATGAGGGCCCGACGTCCACAGGTGGGGGTTGTGCTTACAGCCCAACACCGTGCAGGACGTTTGGCATTTGCCAGAGAACACCAAGATTGGCAAATTCGCCACTGGCGCCCTGTGCTCTTCACAGATGAAAGCAGGTTCACACTGAGCACGTGACAGAGTCTGGAGATGCCGTGGAGAACGTTCTGCTGCTTGCAACATCCTCCAGCATGACCGGTTTGGCGGTGGGTCAGTCATGGTGTGGGGTGGCATTTCTTTGGGGGGCCGCACAGCCCTCCATGTGCTCGCCAGAGGTAGCCTGACTGCCATTAGGTACGGAGATGAGATCCTCAGACCCCTTGTGAGACCATATGCTGGTGCGGTTGGCCCTGGGTTCCTCCTAATGCAAGACCTCATGTGGCTGGAGTGTGTCAGCAGTTCCTGCAAGAGGAAGGCATTGATGCTATGGACTGGCCCGCCCGTTCCCCAGACCTGAATCCAATTGAGCACATCTGGGACATCATGTCTCGCTCCATCCACCAACGCCACGTTGCACCACAGACTGTCCAGGAGTTGGAGGATGCTTTAGTCCAGGTCTGGGAGGAGATCCCTCAGGAGACCATCCGCCACCTCATCAGGAGCATGCCCAGACGTTGTAGGGAGGTCATACAGGCACGTGGAGGCCACACACACACTACTGAGCCTCATTTTGACTTGTTTTAAGGACATTACATCAAAGTTGGATCTGCCTGTAGTGTGGTTTTCCACTTTAATTTTGAGGGTGACTCCAAGTCCAGACCTCCATGGGTTGATACATTTGATTTCCATTGATAATTTTTGTGTGATTTTGTTGTCAGCACATTCAACTATGTAAAGAAAAAAGTATTTAATAAGATTATTTCATTCATTCAGATCTAGGATGTGTTATTTTAGTGTTCCCTTAATTTTTTGAGCAGTGTATTACCCTACCAGCCACAGCACCAATGCTAGTTGTTACATGTATTATAATGGGAGTACATGTGTGTCAAAGGCAACTTGCCTGCTGGTACTGGGAGTATTTGATGGGATCCTTCTCAAACACTTCATATGTCTGAGACTCCAGATTGTCCATGAGGGGCTAATGGGAAGAGAAGAGAACAATTAGAGACAAAGAATCCAATGCATACACACAAACAATATAATATGGCTGGGAATTGCCAGGGACCTCACGATACGATATTATCACGATACTTAGGTGCCGATATGATATGTATTGCGATTCGATACTGCGATTTTATTGTGATTTGATGTTACAAACATATCGCTCTCTATATGTCTGCTGCAGAGACGAGAGAGCATGAGAAAATGAGTTTTGATCAGTCATGGAAATTAAAGTGCTGAAAACATGTTGGCTCACTATTTAAAAAGACTGAGAACAAGCTATAGGATGAAAAATACCTAAGTTTTGGCGCAGGTACAGCCGACTAGCGCTAGCTAATGCTACCTAGCTACAAATAATTAAATTGACTTTTTATTTTGACAAATCGATACTTGGGAGTCAAAGTATCAATATAATATCGTCCAACTATCGATTCCCAGCCCATCACTACAATATACAGCTCTGGAAAAAATTAAGAGACCACTGCAAAATTATCAGTTTCACTATTTATTGTTATGTGTTTGGGTAAAAAAAACATTTTTGTTTCATTCTATAGACTACTGACAACATTTCTCCCAAATTCCAAATAAAAATATTGTAATTTTGAGCATTTATTTGCAGAAAATGACAACTGGTCAAAATATAGTCCCGTGTAGCTCAGTTGGTAGAGCATGGCGTTTGCAACGCCAGGGTTGTGGATTCGATTCCCACGGGGGCCAGTAGTTAATTATTTATGCATAGTCACTTTAACTCTACCCACATGTACATATTACTTCAACTATCTCAACTAGCCGGTGCCCCCGCACATTGACTCTGCACCGGTACCCCCCTGTATATATAGCCTCCCTACTGTTATTTTATTTTACTTCTGCTCTTTTTTTTCAACACTTTTTTTGTTGTTTTATTTTTACTTTTTTTTTTTTTTAAATAAATGCACTTTTGGTTAAGGGCTGTAAGTAAGCATTTCACTGTAATGTCTGCACCTGTTGTATTCGGCGCATGTGACCAATAAAATTTGATTTGAAAAAGAAAAATGTACGCACTCACTAACTGTAAGTCGCTCTGGATAAGAGCGTCTGCTAAATGACTAAAATGTAAATAACAAAAAAGATGCAGTGTTGTCAGACCTCGAATAATGCAAAGAAAATAAGTTAATGTTCATTTCTAAAAACAACACAATAATGTTTTAACTTAGGAAGAGTTCAGAAATCAATATTTGGTGGAATAACCCTGATTTTCAAATCACAGCTTTCATGCGTCTTGGCATGCTCTCCACCAGTCTTTCACATTGATGTTGGGTGACTTTATGCCACTCCTGGCGCAATAATTCAAGCAGCTCGGCTTTGTTTGATGGCTTGTGACCATCCATCTTCCTCTTGATCACATTCCAGAAGTTTTCAATGGGGTTCAGGTCTGGAGATTGGGCTGGCCATGACAGGGTCTTGATCTGGTGGTCCTCCATCCACACCTTGATTGACCTGGCTGTGTGGCATGGCGCATTGTCCTGCTGGAAAAACCAATCCTCAGAGTTGGGGAACAATGTCAGAGCAAAAGGAAGCAAGTTTCTTCCAGGACAACCTTGTACGTGGCTCGATTCATGCGTCCTTCACAAAGACAAATCTGCCCGATTCCAGCCTTGCTGAAGCACCCCCAGATCATCACCGATCCTCCACCAAATTTCACAGTGGGTGCAAGACGCTGTGGCTTGTAGGCCTCTCCAGGTCTCCGTCTAACCATTAGACGACCAGGTGTTGGGCAAAGCTGAAAATTGGACTCATCAGAGAAGATTACCTTACTCCAGTCCTCTACGGTCCAATCCTTATGGTCTTTTGCAAACCTCAGCCTGGCTCTTCTTTGCTTCTCATTGATGAAGGGCTTTTTTTCTAGCTTTGCACGACTTCAGCCCTGCCCCTAGGAGCCTGTTTCGAACCGTCCTCGCTGTGCACTTCACCCCAGCTGCCATTTGCCATTATTTTTGTAGGTCACTTGATGTCATCCTACAGTTGTTGAGTGACATTCGAATGAGTTGGCGGTCATCCCGGTCAGTAGAGTCGTTTTCGCCCTCTGCAGCTTTGTTGTCCCCAATGTCTGCTGCTTGACCTTGTTCTTATGAACCGCCGTCTTTAACATTTTAAGGATGGAAGCAACCTGACGCTCACTGTATCCCTCTGCCAGTAAAGCCAGAATTGAACCCTTCTTTTCCTCACTCAAAACTTTCCTTTTCAACTCTTTTGGCATGGTCAATAGTTATTTTTTGATTAATACTACTTTTGAGGTACTATTAGCACTGTTTTTACCATCCAGCTGGTCCCATTGCAAGAGGATAGTGATGACCACAGCAGTGGTTTTTATACTTTTCCTCATTAAATAAGATTTGGGTCAGGTGAACACCTAATCAGTGCCTAATTCAGTAGAATGAGGTGTGCCTGTGCTGGAATTCAACAGACACTGGAATGGAATGGCTGTCATAACATGTAGAGATGCTGATTTAAGAAAAATCTGCAGTGGTCTCTTAATTATTTCCACAGCTGTAGGTATGACTATTCACAAACCTCAGTAACACACACACACACACACACACACCTGGAGAGGAGACTGTAGGTAATCCTCGTAACCCTTGGCAAACAGTTCATAGGCATTGGGGACAGGGCGGTTCTGGTTGAGGTATTCAAGGTACTGCAGGTAGGAGCGGAAGTCCTTCTCACTGTGACGACTGGTGCCAGTGAAGATGAACTGGGCTTCAAGCTGGAAGAGAAAATATTTTGTAAAATACACATTCAAGGACAGAGTGAAGAAAAATAGTTTTATTTGCTATAACAATTGCCATAGCCTAGAATTTACAGTACCTTGAAGAGACGGAAGATGATTTTCTGGTGGGCTTTTGACAGGACTGGGAACCCTTTCTTATTGGTCAGAAAGATGCTGGTGGGAAGAACAGCTGCTTTGATAGGCTCCCCAAGCCACTTGTCAATCACAGCATCGGAGGGCATGTTTTCTCCAACCTCAATGGCTTCAGCGAAAGGAAGGGAAGACAAATCAGGAACAATTGTGACCAAAACAATTCCTTATCAGTTTGTCAACACTACCCCAACCATGTTTCCCTGTCCTGCTCCCTTACCTAAACAGATTCTCTTGTTGTAGTCACAAAGAGTTCTGAATGAATGCCACCTGAAAAAGGAAAAACCGAAGGTACATTTAAATTAAAAAAAACTAGCAAAATCTGCAGGCCCTGGGCACAACACAATACTTACCAGGCCCAGGTCTTCTCGTCATCACTGCCATCATCTGTGCGTTTCGTAGGCTCGTTCTCGATGATGTCATCCCGCATGTTGTCAGTGGAAATCAGGGGGACGCGGATCCAAAACTGATATGAAACGTAGTTTTAAGTTAACCGATTTACCTTAATATGGCTTGTATTGTGACTGGCAAAGGATTAAGAATTAGTTATAATTCTTATATGCTATAGATAGAGAATTCTTGTGTGCTGTAGTTACCATGCAGGAGTGGTGTCCCGTCTGGATGTGGTTGAGCAGCACGCGGGCCAGGTTGGCACAGTGAGGGCCCTTCAGAGGGACCATGAAGGCTGGCAGACCCAGATATGCTGAGAAGTTCAGCTCCTGGACAAGGGCCTGAGACAGGACAGAGGGATGGAAGGACAGAGCAACAATTCAACTTGTGGCGAAAAATTTTAAAACGTTCTGCTTGAGCGTTTCTTAGTTCACAAACAAGGCCAGGGGAGTATTTACTCAAACAAACAGAACAAAATGGGGAGGGATCTCCCAGAATTTTTCCAATAGAAACAGTAATTCTCATTGCAAAAAGTTATTTTGTGAAATGTTTTGGAACTGTTTGCTACGGTGGAAGTTAATGAACACACCCCAAGTCTGATCATGATGTCCAACTCACCGCTTCTGAATTCCTGCGTTCTGTCTCCACCTCTGAGTCGGTCTCGATCCATGGAGAAAGCTTTCCAACAACCAGAGTGTTCCAGTCTGGGTAAGGAGGAATTGAAATTCTTAATTAAATATACATACTGTAGAGCCATTAGATGGCCCTGTAAGTAGATGCTCCTTTGCTCAGTGGAACTGGGCATGTGCATGAACTGTCTACCATTGAGGCCACTAGGCCAGTATGAATACAGGTAGCCTCCTCACCTCTCCCACAGAGCAGAAGGTCAGAGCGTGTATGTGCTCCTGATCGGACTTTGGCGGGGTCCAACTCAAACTCCCTCCTGAACCTCGGGTGGAAGAGGGGCATGCACAGGAAGTCAAACCTGAAAGAGAAAGTCACAAGTGGGACACAGTTTGATCTAACATTAGTTTAGTTTATTAGGATCCCCATTAGCTACTGCACATGCAACAGCTACTTTTCCTGGGGTCCACATAAAACGTACAAATACATGAAAAAGTACAGAACAGGCATAGACAAGAACATCAAAAGATATTACAATAAATTCAATAAAAATAAAACTTATGATGAAAAGACACGGAGACAACAAAAATTATATTTACACTATTCATATATACAGTACTGTTAAAGTAAAGAGGCACTGTGATACAATATGTTGTTTTAAAGCTAAAACTTGTTTTTTTGCCTGAGTAACCTCTGGTGGCAGAGCATTCCATGATGACATGGCTCTATACATACAGTTGAAGTCGGAAGCTTACACACACCCAGGTTGGAGTCATTAAAACTCGTTTTTCAACCACTATAGTTTTGGCAAGTCGGTTAGGACATCTACTTTGTGCATGACACAACCAGTATGAAAATGTATGCACTCACTAACTGTAAGTCGTCCTGGATAAGAGCGTCTGCAAAATGACTAAAATGTAAAAATGCAAGTAATTTTTCCAACAATTGTTTACAGACAGATTATTTCACTTATAATTCACTGTATCACAATTCCAGTGGGTCAGAAGTTTACATACACTAAGTTGACTGTGCCTTTAAACAGCTTGGAAAATTCCAGAAAATGATGTCATGGCTATAGAAGCTTCTGATAGGCTAATTGACATAATTTGAGTCAATTGGTGGTGTACCTATGGATGTATTTCAAGGCCTACCTTCAAACTCAGTGCCTCTTTGCTTGACATCATGGGAAAATCAAAAGAAATCAGCCAAGACCTCAGAAAAAAAAATGGTAGACATCCACAAGTCTGGTTCATCCTTGGGAGCAATTTCCAAACGCCTGAAGGTACCACGTTTATCTGTACAAACAATAGTACGCAAGTATAAACACCATGGGACCACGCAGCCATCATACCACTCAGGAAGGAGACGTGTTCTGTCTCCTAGAGATGAACGTGCTTTGGTGCGAAAAGTGCAAATCAATCCCAGAACAACAGCAAAGGACCTTGTGAAGATGCTGGAGGAAACCGGTACAAAAGTATCTATATCGACATAACCTGAAAGGCCGCTCAGCAAGGAGGAAGCCACTGCTCCAAAACTGCCATAAAAAAGCCAGACTACGGTTTGCAACTGCACATGGGGACGAAGATCGTACTTTTTGGAGAAATGTCCTCTGGTCTGATTAAACAAAAATAGAACTGTTTGGCCATAATGACCATCGTTATGTTTGGAGGAAAAAGGGGAACGCTTGCAAGCCGAAGAACACCATCCCAACCGTGAAGCACAGGGGTGGCAGAATCATGCTGTGGGGGTGCTTTGCTGCAGGAGGGACTGGTGCACTTCACAAAATAGATGGCATCACGAGGAAGGAAAATTATGTGGATATATTGAAGCAACATTTCAAGACATCAATCAGAAAGTTAAAGCTTGGTCGCAAATGGGTCTTCCAAATGGACAATGACCCTAAGCATACTTCCAAAGTTGTGGCAAAATGGCTTAAGGACAACAAAGTCAAGGTATTAGAGTGGTTATCAGAAAGCCCCGACCTCAATCCTATAGAAAATGTGTGGGCAGAACTGAGAAAGCTTGTGCGAGCAAGGAAACCTACCAACCAGCTCTGTCAGGAGGATTGGGCCAAAATTCACCCAACTTATTGTGGGAAGGTTGTGGAAGGCTTCCTAAAACATTTGACCCAAGTTAAACAATTTAAAGGCAATGTTACCAAATACTAATTGAGTGTATGTAAACTTCTGACCCACTGGGAATGTGATGAAAGAAATAAAAGCTGAAATAAATCATTCTCTCTACAATTATTCTGACATTCTTAAAATAAAGTGGTGATCCTAACTGACCTAAGACAGGGAATTTTTACTAGGATTTAATGTCAGGAATTGTGAAAAACTGAGTTTAATGTATTTGGCTAAAGTGTATGTAAACTTCCGACTTCAACTGTAACTGAACAAAGTATTACATTGGGTTTTGGTACAGTGAAGAAACCCATAGCGGCGTGTCTGCTGGGGTATGTATGTCTGTTTGAAGTGTATGCAAATAGATTATACAAGTTAAGCATTTATTTTCAACACACAAATGTTTCTTAAAAATACTAGAAGAGAAGTAGGGCGGCAGGTAGCTTAGTGGGTAAGAGCGTTGTGTCAGTAACCGAAAGGTCGCCGGTTCTAATCCCCAAGCTGACTAGGTGAAAAATATGTCGATGTGCCCTTAAGCAAGGCACTTAACCCTAATTGCTCCTGTAAGTCGCTCTTTAACCCTAGTCGCTCTGGATAAGAGCATCTGCTAAATGACAACAAAAAAAAGTCAATTTCCCCTCAACCATGAACTACTATCATGCATGTTGTTGATGTTAGTTATTTGTGTGCAGTTAAGGGCAAGGTGTGCTGCTTTGTTTTGAGCCTTTACAATATCTTTCTTTGCTGCACCTGACCATTACTGGACAGTAATCAAGATGAGACAAAATCAGAGCCTGAACAACTAGCACAGCTGATCTGTGTCCAAAAATATTTTTATAAACATACATACATACCTCGCCCCATCTTCACAACAACTTTGTCAATATGACTTGACCATGATAACCGGCCATTGAGATACAACTTGTTTGACGCTCTTGCACAAAGTTGACTGTAGCTAGGAACATTGCTGAAGCTACACAAATGTTAGGTTATTTAGTTGGATAATAAATTCAAGTAACGTCATGGCTCCACAGTCAAATGTATTCTCATCAAATCATATTGAGGTCGTGGTAAGGAGGAGCATTTAATTGTCAGCCATTGTGATGGTGCACGTGCTAATTCACCATCACCGGCAAATTCACCTAGCTAACCAGCTAGCGAGTTACTACTAGCAAAATAGGTAAAATACCTAGCCAGTGACATTTTAGTCATTTAGCAGACGCTCTTATCCAGAGCGACTTACAGTTAGTGAGTGCATACATTTTCATATTGGCCCCCCGTGGGAAACTAACCCACAACCCTGGCGTTGCAAGCGCCATGCTCTACCAACTGAGCTACAGGGTACATCACATGCAGAAATGAAGCCGAAGGGTATATAGCCTTGTCGGCTCCTGTATTTACCTCCACCTCCCCCCAAATAACTGCTGGAGCGAAACAGTTTACTTACCCAAGTTTAGCCACTGCCGCAAGTGTGTCAGCAACCTCGGGCACACAATTCAAATCTCTCCCGCAGGACACCCTGCCTCCTGTGCTGTGGGACGCCATCATTAGCCGAGTGAATGGGAAAGAGGAGAGTTGCAGTTTAGTAAAAGGGAAACTGACGCCATTTTGGCTCTGGTCAAGTATTTGCTATCATTGGAGCTGAGACTCAAAATGACTTCCTCTAGAATGCAGTTTCGAGAACTGTCGCGATACTTGCACGTCCAGTGAGATTATGGTAGTTTGAGGCCGTTGTTGGAAAATCATTTGGGATCATCTTGATCACCTATGCTGCGTTCAAACAACTGTGAGTTCGGAAATCTCCGAATTCATTGCGTTCAAGACAACGGAACACGGAAAAAAACGACCTCCGACTGGGAAAAATCGTTTTGAATGGTCATCCAACTCGGAATTCCAATTCGGTAACTCAGGCCTCTTTCTAGAGCTCAGACCAATGACTGTATATATGAGTTCCCATGACATGTTCAAAACAACTGGGAACACGGAAAAATACAAGGTCAAATCATGACGTCAGTGAAAGAGTTCTCGAGTTGGAATTCCGAGTTGGATGATCGTTCAAATCGATTTTTCCAGGTCGGAGTTGTTCCCAGTTGTTTTGAACGCACTGAAGATGGAAGTCTGAGATTTACAAGTTCCCAGTTGTTTTGAACGTGGCACCAGTTGTCTTGAAAGCACCAATAGAGATGGTTGGCTGACAATGTCACGAAAACGATGGCAGGCTTCAATGGGGCAAAAGGCAGTGGCCGTGTTCGAGAGGATCAAAACTGCAATGTGTCATGGGTAAATTGTGACTGACTGACTGATCTACAAATAATAATGAGTCCTTATTTATGATGCAAGGTGATTTGTAGATCAGTCAGTCTGCAGTCGTTTTGATGCTCTCAAACACGGCCGGTGTGTTGTTGTGATTCTGGATGGCAATGTAGCTAGCAACAATGACAATAATTAGTTGATGTTGCTCTACGTGGTCCAACACGTTCATAAAAGTGTACTGAACAGAAGACCAACGGCACGCTCTGATAATCAAAGCAACTAGATCACATGCATTTGACTGACTGGTCATAATAGCTCACAGTGTAGAACACCTAGCTCCTCATAATTGTTGCAGATTGTGGCAAGGGTTTGAATCCCACATTCGTTTTTTTCCCCCTTTAAAATGTAGAATTACATTTATTGTGTTAGTGTGTTGAATGGATAAATGGCGCTGGAGGGAATAGCAGCCGTTTTACGGGCTCCTAACCATTTGTGACTGAAAAGAGCTTCTGGACATCAGTAAAGCAATCACTAACCTTGATTTGGATGAGGATTTGTACTTCAATGAGTCGGAGGCGGAAGATATACTGCTCATCCCGGACAAGGCCCAAATCCCTGACACTCGGAAAAGGAAGAGGCGGCATTACAGAGGCCGGCGTGCGGGATACCTGATGAGACTACGTCAGCGAGTGGATAAAACGCCTTTACCCTCCGTTCTATTGGCGAACGTGCAATCACTGGAGAATAAACTGGACGAACTCCGTTCGAGACGATCCTATCAACGTGATCTGAAGATATCTTATGTTTCTCCAATTCGTGGCTGAACAAGGATTGGAAAATATTTTTCTATACATCGGCAAGACAGAACGGCAGTGTCGGGTAAGTTCAGGGTTGGTGGTGTGTGTCTCTTTGCTAACAACAGCTGGTGCTCGATCTCTAATATTAAGGAAGTCTCAAGGTTCTGCTCGCCTGAGTTAGAATTCCTCCCGATAAGATGCAGACCATACTATTTACCAAGAGATATTTTCATATATATTTTTTGTAGCTGTCTATTTACCACCACAAACTGATGCTGGCACTAAGAACGTACTCAACGAGCTGTATAGGGCCATAAGGAAACAAGAAAATGCTCACCCAGAGGTGGCGCTCCTAGTGGCTGGTGATTTTAATGCATGAAAACTGAAATCCGTTTTACTTCATTTCTACCTGCATGTCACCTGTGCAAATACAAGCGAAAAAACTCTAGATCACCTTTACTCCACACACAGAGACACATACAAAGCCCTCCATTTTGGCAAATCTGACCATAATTCTATCCTCCTGATTCCTGCTTACAAGCAAGAACTTAAACAGGAGGTAACAGTGACGCGCTCAATACGAAAGTGGTCAGATGAAGCGGATGCTAAGCCACAGAACTGTTTCACTAGGACAGACTGGGATATGTCCAATGACATTGAGGAGTTCACCACATCAGTCACCAGCTTAGTTAATAAGTGCATCGACGACGTTATCCCCACAGTGACCAACCAGAAGCCATAGATTACAGGCAACATCCGCACTGAGCTAAAGGCTAGAGCTGCCGCTTTCAAGGAGCAGGACACTAATCCGGACGCTTAGAAGAAATCCCGCTACATCCTCCAGCGAAACCATCAAACAGGCAAAGCGTCAGTACAGGACCTAGATCGAATCCTACTACACCGGCTCTGACGCTCGTCGGTGTGGTTGGGCTTTTAAACTATCACGGATTACAAAGGGAAACCCAGCTGTGAGCTGCCCAGTAACACGAGTCTACCAGACGAGCTAAATGCTTTCTGTGCTCGCGTCGAGGCAAGTAACACTGAACCATGCATGAGAGCACCAGCTGTTCTGGACGACTGTGTGAACATGCTCTACGTAGCCGATGTGTGTAAGACTTAGAAACAGCTTAACATTCACAAGGCCGCAGGGCCAGTGGGGAAAAAAGTACCCAATTTTCATACTTGAGTAAAAGTAAAGATACCTTAAGAGAAAATGACTTAAGTAAAAGTGAAAGTCACCAAGTAAATTACAACTTGAGTAAAAGTCTAAATGTATTTGGTTTTAAATATATTTAAGTATCAAAAGTAAATGTAATTGCTAAAATAAAAGTAAAAGTATAAATAATTTCAAATTCCTTATATTAGAAACCAGACGGCACTATTTTCTTGTTTTATTAATTTACAGATAGCCAGGGACACATTCAAACACTCAGACACAATTTACAAATGAAGCATGTGTGTTTAGTGAGCCAAGATCAGAGGCAGTAGGGATGACCAGGGATGTTCTCTTGATAAGTGCATGAATTGGACCATTTTCCTGTCCTGCTAAGTCTTAAAAAATGTACGAGTACATTTTGGTGTCAGGGAAAATTTATAGAGTAAAAAGTACATAATTTTAATTAGGAATGTAGTGAAGTAAAAGTAAAAGTAGTTAAAAATGCTGTTCATTGACTACAGCTCAGCGTTCAACACCATAGTGCCCTCCAAGCTCATCACTAAGCTAAGGACCCTGGGATTAAACACCTTCCTCTGCAACTGGATCCTGGACTTCCTGACGGGCCACCCCCAGGTGGTAAGGGTAGGCAACAACACATCCGCCACGCTGACCCTTAACATGGGGCCCCCGTCAGGGGGGCATGCTTAGTCCCCTCCTGTACTCCTTGTTCACCCAAGACTGCGTGGCAGCACATCTCCAACACCATCATTAAGTTTGCTGATGACACAACAGTGGTAGGACTGATTACCGACGACAATGAGACACCCTACAGGGAGGAGGTCAGAGACCTGGCAGTGTGGTGCTAGGACAACAACCTCTCCCTCAACGTAAGCAAGACAAAGGACCTGACTGTGGACTACAGGAAACGGAGGGCTGAGCACGCCCCCATTCACATCGATCGGGGCTGTAGTGGAGCGGGTCGAGAGCTTCAAGTTCCTCAGTGTCCACATCACTAAGAACCTATCATGGTCCAAACACACCAACACAGTCGAAGAGCGCACGACAACACCTCTTCCCCCTATATATATATTTATTATATTCTGGACTCTGACATTGCTCTTTCTGATATTTCTTAATTCCTTTATTTTTATTTTGGGGATTTGTGTGTATTGTTTTGTATAGGTATTACTGCACTGTTGGAGTTAGAGCTAGAAACAGAAGCATTTAGCTGCTCTCATGCATGGTTCAGTGTTGCTTGCCTCGAAGCGAGCATAGAAGGCATTTAGCTAGCCTGGTAGGCTCGAGTAACTGGGCAGCACGCGGCTGGGTTTCGCTTTGTAATCCGTGATAGTTTGCAAACCCTGCCACATCCGACGAGCATCTGAGCTGGCGTAGTAGGATTCGATTTTAGCTCTGTATTGACACTTCTCCTATTTGATGGCTCGTCGGAGGTCGTAGCGGGATTTCTTATAAGCCTCCAGATTAGTGTCCCGCTCGTTGAAAGCGGCAGCTCTAGGCTTTATCTCAGTGCGGATGTTGTCTGTAATCCATGGCTTTTGGTTGGGATATGTACGTACGGTCACTGTGGGGATGAAGCCGGTTACTGATGTGGTAAACTCCTCAATGTTATCGAATGAATCCCGGAACATATTCCAGTCAGTTCTAGCGAAACAGCCCTGTAGCTTAGCATCCACTTCATCGGACCACTTCCGTATTAAGCGCGTCACTGGTACTTCCTGTTAGAGTATTTGCTTGTAAGCAGGAATAAGGAGAATAGAGTTATGGTCAGATTTGCCAAAGGGAGGGCGAGGGAGAGCCTTGTATGCGTTTCTGTGTGTGGAGTAAAGGTGATCAAGAGTTTTGTCGCCTCTAGTTGCACAGGTGACATGCTGGTAAATATGAGGTAAAACGGATTTCAGTTTCCCTGCATTAAAATCACCGGCCACGAGAACTGCCGCCTCTACATGTGCATTTTCTTGTTTGCTTATGGCCCTATACAACTGGTTGAGTGCAGTCTTGGTTTGTGGTGGTAAATAGACGGCCACAAAAAATAAATATTAATATTTCAATAAATATTATGGTCTGCAGCTTATCATGAGGTATTCTATCTCCGACAAACAAATCTCAAGACTTCCTTAACATTAGAGATCGCGCACCAGCTGTTAACAAAGAGACACACCCAGTGGTGTAATGCAATTTTTTTAGGTGTGGGAGTGCAAAAACCAATGTAAACGATGTCATCATTTTGCAATCAAAGTTTGTACAGACAGATGTAGCCTATTGAATATCATCAGGGGCGCAACTTTCACTGGGGACGGGGGGGTCCCCCCCCATCCCCCCACACACACACATTCTGAAATTGCATTCCCCCCCCCCCCAGTTTTATTATTGCATTGTAATACAAAAAGTGTCATCAGTGTGCTTTAGGACCATGCGGACGCCTCAGAGCGGTCGGGTAGACTGTTTGGTGATTTCAGCTAGCTGAATGTCTTGAGTTAATAAGTATTAAACCCCTTTGTTATGGCAAGCCTAAATAAGTTCAGGAGTAAAAATTAGCATAACAAGCCACAAAATAAAGTTGCATGGACTCACTCATGATTTTTGAATGACTACCTCATCTCTGTACCCCACACAATTATCTGTAAGGCCCCTTAGTCAAGCAGTGAATCTCATACACAGATTCAACCATAAAGATCAGGGAGGTTTCCCAATGCCTTGCAAAGAAGGGCACCTATTGGTAGATGGGTATACATAAAAAAAAGCAGACATTGAATATCCCTTTGAACATCGTGAAGTTATTAATTACACTTTATTTCATACACCCAGTCACTACAAAGATACAGGTGTCCTTCCTAACTTAGTTGCCAGAGATTAAGGAAACCGCTCAGGGATTTCACCATGAGGTAAATTGTGACTTTAAAACAGTTACAGAGTTTAATGGCTGTGTTAGGAGAAAACTAAGGATGGATCAACAACATTGTAGTTACTTCACAATACTAACCTAATTAACAGAGTGAAAAGAAGTAAGCCTGTACATCATACAAATATTCCAAAACATGCATCCTGTTTACAATAAGACACTAAAGTAAAACGACAAAAAATGTGGCAAAGCAATTCACTTCATGTCCTGAATACAAAGCATTGTGTTTGGGGCAAATCCAACACAACACATCACTGAGTACCACTCTTCATATTTTCAAGCATGGTGGTGGCTGCATCATGTTATGGGTATGCTTGTCATCGGCAAGGACTAGAGAGTTTTTTAAATAATACGAATAAACTGAATATAGCTAAGCACAGGCAAAATTCTAGAGGAAAACCTGGTTCAGTCTGCTTTCCAACAGACACTGGTAGACAACTACACCTTTCAGCAGGACAATAACCTAAAACACAAGGCCAAATATACAGTGAAGTTGCCTACCAAGACGACATTGAATGTTCCTGAGTAGCCTAGTTACAGTTTTGAATTAAATCGGCTTGAAAATCTATGGCAAGACTTGAAAACGGCTGTCTAGCAATGATCAACAACCAACTTGGCAGAGCTTGAAGAATCTTTTAAAGAATAATCTGCAAATATTGTACAATCCAGGTGTGCAAAGCTCTTAGAGATTTACACAAAAAGACTCACAGCTGTAATCGCTGCCAAAGGTGATTGTAACATGTATTGACTCAAGGGGTTGAATACTTATCTAATGAAGATATACAGTGTATTTGTGTTTTATTTAAAAAATTTTTTTTTTTTTGCAAATGTTAGAATTCTTCTTCTACTTTGACATTAGAGTAATTTGTGTAGATCGTTGACAAAAAATGACAATGAAATCCATTTTAATCGCACTTTGTAACACAACAAAATGAGGACAAAGTCAAGGAGTGTGAATACTTTCTGAAGGCACTGTATATGCTATTATATGTGGTTCTGTTTTGTAAAATACAAATTAAACATTATATGATCTTGCTAGACATTGATTTGGCTTCAGAATACATTTTCCAGAAATATTTTTACCGGATCCATTATATTCTCAAATTGAAAAAAGTGAAGAAGCGCTGCTCCTTGACACACCCCTCCCCCCTTCATCTTAGCCGAGGCTGTCGTCCGGTCTAGACAATGCATGGAAAAACCAGCGAGATGTATACTGAACAAAAATATTAACGTTACAGTTCATACTGTATAAGGAAATCAGTCAATTGAAATAAATAAATGAGGCCCTAATCTATGGATTTCACATGACTGGGCAGGGGTGCAGCCATTGGTGGCAATACTCATACAAGGCCGTAAAAATGGATTCCACTGGGAGAAAAATAGAACAATCCTAAGGACAGTTTCTCTGGATTTTGGGTTTCTCTGAGCTGTTAAATTTTACTGCCTCTCCTTGTTAAGAGATTGCACTGAGCATCAACCTTTTACTCAAACTCAAGGGACAGTGAATCTGTTTTGTAGGGACTGTCACGTATACTCCCCTTCTGGCCTCTAGGTGACCAGTCAACTCCTGATCCCTGAGATCGTCCCTTTGGTCGGTGTCCTGCGGCTGGAGCCGCGCGTCAGGGAGGGGGTACTGTCACGTATACTCCCCCTCTGGGCCTCTAGGTCACTAGGCTGCTCTTTATTATGCACACCTGTCACCATCGTTACGCGCACCAGCGCCTCATCAGACTCACCTGGACTCCATCACCTTCCTGATTACCTCCCTTATATATGTCACTCCCTTTGGTTCCTTCCCTAGGCGTTATTGATTCTGTTACTCTGTTCCTGTCTGTACGCTACTCTTGTTATCATAAAACATTAAATGCACTCCCTGTACTTGCTTCCCGACTCTCAGCGTACATTGTTACAGGGACACTGAGTCTGTTTTGTGATCAACATTTATTGCATTGATGTCAACCACAATCCGTCCGCCAGATACAATCACAATGGCTTTACAAGACTTCTGTGGTTTTCAGGACACCCCAATGTCTCAAAGGTGGAACACTCCTGCCTCACTCTCTAGGCCTATGGGAGATATCACTCCTCTCCTGGAGATGGCTGATGAAAGGAACCTTGGTTGGTGTGGATTTAAATCATCTGAGAGAGATGGAGGGGTCCCTCTGCATTTTTTCATACCTACCCCTCAGAGCTCTGTTCCTTTCTGCTGTGACAACAGACACCGTCCCTTTCCTCCCTGTCCACCTCTCCATCACCGCCCACCCGCCGCCCATTCCCTTTGTCTCACGGAACCACTACCCTGGCCTTTGTGTTCGAAGGAGGTGTTATAGCAGCAGCAGACACACGTGCCAGCTGCTCAGGGCTTGTCTCCTGTCCCTCTGCCCAGAAGATACTGCCCATCCACTCCCATTTACTGGTCACCACTTCAGGCAGTGGTGCAGACTGCATGCTATGAGAGAGAATCCTGGCCAGAGATCCGCCTTTACCAGCTACGCCACGGCCGCCGCTTGTCAATCACTGGCTCTGCCAAGCTCGTCTCTCATATGCTGCACCCATTTAAGGGGACTGATGTGTGTGTGGCAGCCACTCTGTGTGGCTGGGATGTAGAGGAGATTAGGGTGGAGAAATTCAGGGGACAAAAAGTTGATAGGATGGGATCAGGCAGAGACAGCATCTCTCCAGCAAAAGTACCCCTTGAAGAGACAGGAATGTCTGCAAGTGATTATTGTAGTCAGGATGACTTGACTGGCAGTGCCAGTGACTGAACAAGACATGCAGTAACTGACGGGAACCTGACAATATCCCTTGTCAGCGATTGTTGTGGCTGAAAGCTGTTCTATGTGTGCAGTGATGGCACCCATCTGCAGGGAGAGCTCTTCTCAGTGGGCTCAGGTTCGCCCTATGCCTATGCTGTACTGGATGGAGGGGTCCAGTGGAGCCTGTGAGGAGGAGGCAATTTCATTGGCCAGAGAAGCTGTGTACAGGGCCACACACAGGGATGCATATTCAGGGAACTGTGTGGACCTCTTTCACATCACTGCCCAAGGATATAGCCGCAAAGACAGGGAGGATCTGAGAGAGGAGTACCAGAGAGAGAGGGAGACGGTGCTGAAGATGGTGAAAGAATGAATGAGAGAGGAGGAGAGGGAGGAATATAGGAAATTTGAATAGGGAAAGATACATGGGGAAAGGGAGGGATTAGGGCTGGGGAGAGGGTTGCCTGACAGACTGTGATACCTTTGGTTGTTGTTAGGAACATTTCCTCTCACAAGCTCTACAAGCCAGAATGTTGAATCAAATCTAATTTCAACTTACCCTACCAGTTGTCTGTGCGGTGGGTAGGAATTTGAGAAAAAATATCCATAGGAAAGTATTATAAACCGACTTTCCAAATACTGGTACTGCCGTTGAGATTTCTATCACCTGGCACATGCGCAAAACAATTTAAACAGCTGCATTACTTTGGTTAGTACACGTGCATTGCTTGCATGTACTTCTATCTTGTGCGCGTGCCTTAGATGATGAGCAAACAAATCGTGATAGCCACACTCAGAGACCCGTGTCTTATAAGTCGGTTTAATAATACTTTCCTGTAGATATTTTGTCTCACATTTCTACCCACAAAAGGACAAAGTCAGCGTAGAGTAAGTTCAAATGGAATTTGAGTCAACATTCGGGACAGACAAGGGATGTCAATACAAATGACCTTGACTATGTTGTCCAAGGGACAGCATAGGAACGTAAGGGCTAGGGAGAGGGTAGGAGTAGATTAGAGAAAATAATGTGTGTCAAAAGAGGATCAAAAAGATGGATGAGGATGGATGACTGGCCACTTTATGGGGGAGAGAAAGTAAGACGCATGCATGCATGTCTGAGCACTTGAATCGTAATGTAATGCGTGTATCAAAAAACGTCATTTCTGTCATGTAATATTATGCATAAAAGTACCATGCATGTACATTTACATTTACTTGTAACAATTCAGTTTCACTTATTAGAAAAATGCTACATTCTCAGACTCCCCCCATCCTCACGTACGTCATGCCCCCTCTAAAATAATGGGTGCATGACGTACGTGAGGATGGGGGGAGTCTGAGAATGTAGCATTTTTCTAATAAGTGAAACAGATTTCTTATGAAATCTAGAACATAATCATTATGCTTAATTCTATGTAAAAAAAAAGAAAATAATTATGCGTAGGTTATCTAAGCATTCAATTGTCATTTTAATTTTTTAAAAACTTTTATGCCTTTTTGAATATTCGATGAGGTGTGTTGACGTCAACCACCTGTATTCAATGGCGTGAGATGCTTTGCTATGCTATGCTTAGAGCGTCTCGAATTTCAACAGGGACTACTCCAATATAAAGTGTTTTTTGCCGGGATGTCACGTGCATCACACTTATATCAGTACACTCGTAACAACCTAATCATTACCAATCTTCTACTCAATCAAACAATCCTCACGTATCAAAATAGCAATTCATTTTTATCTTGACTACATTCGACACTCTCATTGCCCCCATTCAAAAACTCCTCACTTGGCGGTCTGCCAAGTTATTTTCATGTCGACAGATTTTGACGAGTAAACCAACTCTCGCTCTGCCTCTTCCTCTCTGGTAGAAAGGAGATGAGGGCTGCCACAGTTTGCCAGTGGCCGATCACTTCAATAAGAGTTTTGTGTGGGGAGGTGAACAGAGAGAGAGAGCTGAAGGTTTTCCCCCTCAACGGGAGGAGAACAGCTTTGAGTTTGGGGGTCGTTTTTGTGTGTGGCCACTGCTCATGCTCTCAAAATGTTGTCGCCCGGAGAAGACACGTTTCCGAGGTGAGAAGGACGTTCATGAGATGGAGTTACATCGGGATGCCACCGGCCCGCAAGCAAAGTTGGGAGAAGAGGAATATTGGGACAGGGACACAGAAGGGTAGATTTCTGAGGAATGGAGGGGGAAAAAGAGGAAGAAGAGGTTGAAGAGAATGAGGAAAGCAGAGGTTGGATTAGAATTTGAGGAAGATGGCAATAAAAATGGAGATGGGGTGTCGAAGAAGAGTGGTGTCAAGTGCAAACAGAGTAAGCCGTGTGCCAGACCGAGATATGGAGGTGAAATGGAAGTGAATGAGGGCAAGTTAAGTGAGGTGGAAGGTGTGCAGAAGAGCTCGGAACCCGAGCCTGGCATCAAAGAAGAATCTGGTCCAGTAGGAGCTAAATTTTTTGAGAAAGTGGATCCTTGACTTTTGGCGGATCCATTTGTGGTGTCTAGGGTGGATGGGAAAGGAGTTGGGTAAAGTTGAATCAGTGAAGGTAACCTGTAGTGGACTTGTGATGTTATTATTGTTATTATTACTATTATTTTTATTTTTGGGGGGGGTAGATCTGCTTTAATATTGCAGATAGATTGTAACTTCCATCAATGTAATTTTCTGATTCACAACCAATCCCCCATATGTTTTTTTTCTCTCTCGCAAATATATATATATATATAGTTGAAGTCGGAAGTTTACATACACTTAGGTTGGAGTCATTAAAACTTGTTTTTCAACCACTCCACACATTTCTTGTTAACAAACTATAGTTTTGGCAAGTCGGTTAGGACATCAACTTTGAGAATGACACAGGTAATTTTCCAACAATTGTTTACAGACAGATTATTTCACTTATAATTTACAATTCACAATTCCAGTGGGTCAGAAGTGTACATACACTAAGTTGACTGTGCCTTTAAACAGCTTGGAAAATTCCAGAAAATGATGTCATGGCTTTAGAAGCTTCTGATAGGCTAATTGACATCATTTGAGTCAATTGGAGGTGTACCTGTGGATGTATTTCAAGGCCTACCTTCAAACTCAATGCCTCTTTGCTTGACATCATAGTAAAATCTAAAGAAATCAGCCAAGACCTCAGAAAAATAATTGTAGACCTCCACAAGTCTGGTTCATCCTTGGGAGCAATTTCCAAACGCCTGAAGGTACCACGTTCATCTGTACAAACAACAGTATGCAAGTATAAACACCATGGGACCACGCAGTCATCATACCGCTCAGGAAGGAGACGCGTTCTGTCTCCTAGAGATGAACGTACTTTGGTGCGAAAAGTGCAAATCAATCCCAGAACAACAGCAAAGGACCTTGTGAAGATGCTGGAGGAAACAGGTACAAAAGTATCTATATCCACAGTAAAACGAGTCCTATATATCGACATAACCTGAAAGGCCGCTCAGCAAGGAAGAAGCCACTGCTCCAAAATCGCCATAAAAAAGCCAGACTACAGTTTGCAACTGCACATTGACCATTGTTAAGTTTGGAGGAAAAAGGGGGTTGCTTGCAAGCCAAAGAACACCATCCCAACCGTGAAGCACGGGGGTGGCAGCATCATGCTGTGGGGGTGCTTTGCTGCAGGAGGGACTGGTGCACTTCACAAAATAGATGGCATCATGAGGAAGGAAAATTATGTGGATATATTGAAGCAACATCTCAAGACATCAGTCAGGAAGTTAAAGCTTGGTCGCAAATGGGTCTTCCAAATGGAGAGTGACCCCAAGCATACTTCCAAAGTTGTGGCAAAATGGCTTAAGGACAACAAAGTCAAGGTATTGGAGTGGCCATCACAAAGCCCTGACCTCAATCCTATAGAAAATTTGTGGGCAGAACTGAAAAAGCGTGTGCAAGCAAGGAGGCCTACAAACCTGACTCAGTTACAGCAGCTCTGTCAGGAGGATTTGGCCAAAATTCACCCAACTTATTGTGGGAAGCTTTTAGAAGGCTGCCCGAAACGTTTGACCAAAGTTAAACAATTTAAAGGCAATGCTTCCATATACTAATTGAGTGTATGTAAACTTCTGACCCACTGGGAATGTGATGAAAGAAATAAAATCTGAAATAAATATTTCTCTCTACTATTATTCTGACATTTCACATTCTTAAAATAAAGTGGTGATCCTAACTGACCTAAGACAGGGAATCTTTACTAGGATTAAATGTCAGGAATTGTGAAAAAATGAGTTTAAATGTATTTGGCTAAGGTGTATGTAAACGTCTGACTTCAACTGTATATATATATATATATATATATATATATATATATATACATTGAGGGAAGAAAGTATTTAATCCCCTGCTGATTTTGTACGTTTGCCCACTGACAAAGAAATCAGTCTATAATTTTAATGGTAGGTTTATTTGAACAGTGAGAGACAGAATAACAACAAAAAAATCCAGAAAAACGCATGTCAAAAATGTTATAAATTGATTTGCATTTTAATGAGGGAAATAAGTATTTGACCCCCTCTCAATCAGAAAGATTTCTGGCTCCCAGGTGTCTTTTATACAGGTAACGAGCTGAGATTAGGAGAACACTCTTAAAGGGAGTGCTCCTAATCTCAGCTTGTTACCTCTATAAAATACACCTGTCCAAATAAGCAATCAATCAATCAGATTCCAAACTCTCCACCATGGCCAAGACCAAAGAGCTAGGATGTCAGGGACAAGATTGTAGACCTACACAAGGCTGGAATGGGCTACAAGACCATCGCCAAGCAGCTTGGTGAGAAGGTGACAACAGTTGGTGCGATTATTCGCAAATGGAAGAAACACAAAAGAACTGTCAATCTCCCTCGGCCTGGGCTCCATGCAAGATCTCACCTTGTGGAGTTGCAATGATAATGAGAACGGTGAGGAATCAGCCCAGAACTACACGGGAGGATCTTGTCAATGATCTCAAGGCAGCTGGGACCATAGTCACCAAGAAAACAATTGGTAACACACTACGCCGTGAAGGACTGAAATCCTGCAGCGCCCGCAAGGTCCCCCTGCTCAAGAAAGCACATATACTGGGCCGTCTGAAGTTTGCCAATGAACATCTGAATGATTCAGAGGAGAACTGGGTGAAAGTGTTGTGGTCAGATGAGACCAAAATCGAGCTCTTTGGCATCAACTCAACCCGCCGTGTTTGGAGGAGGAGGAATGCTGCCTATGACCCCAAGAACACCATCTCCACCGTCAAACATGGAGGTGGAAACATTATGCTTTGGGGGTGTTTTTCTGCTAAGGGAACAGGACAAATTCACCGCATCAAAGGGACGATGGACGGGCCATGTACTGTCAAATCTTGGGTGAGAACCTCCTTCCCTCAGCCAG